TGCCTCTGAACCAAGATTCTGGGATTGTTTTTTATTGAACATTTAAACACTGAAGGCAAGTGAGAGGAATCCAGAAATTCAGGAGTTTTTTCCACAGATTCTGGAGTGCAGAAACAAGAGTTCCCTCAAATGCTGCTAAAAGATTACCTGTCCAGATGGCAGACTGGATGGTTTGTAGCAAGATTTTTTTCTCAGAGGGGTCAAGGAAGTAAAGATTTTCAAGAGAGTAACTTTGGTATTTGTTTCCATGATGGACCTAGCAAGATGGCTTACCTCTTTTGATGCCACTGTAAGAACTGATGCGGTTGTCCACTAACAGAACCAGACCACAAAGAGAAGTGGAGTAGAGAGACATTGCAGTTTGCAGCCTGTGAAGTTTTACACCACTTCGATGATTACGCTTATGTTTACAGAAGTCTAGCATATCAGCTCTCAATAGTCTCAGGTTATGCATGGTCTTCAACTGGGCCCCTGTGTGAAAAAGTAGACCCAGGAAGCTTAAATACATGCAACTTCACACACACAAACTAGGTTACTTATAGCTATCAATACATGCTCAAAGCATGTGATGAGGACCTAGAATGGAGAAAGAGGAAAAAAATATTCAAATGGCAGTAAGGGATAAAGTTCTTTTTTTTTTTTATCCTTTTAGCATCTATCAAGTTCAAGATGTTATATTAACAGGAACGTTTTTACAAGACTTAAATTAGGTGCGACACCACAGATGATTTTGCCTTTTAAATGTTATAGGTGGCTTTAAACAGACAAAAAGGGGAAAATAAGCACTGACATCAAAATTCTGTTCAGTATTTCAGCATTCATTGCATACTTGGTCTAAGGGATCAAGTGACTATACTTACCCAAATGAATCGTAAAACTCTCTTCTAATTGTCTCTGCTCTTCGTAGATTCTTCCATTTCCTTCTACAGATTCTCTCAATTGGCTGGGTTGAACCTTAATTTCATCACTAAAAAGGCATGCATAAATAAGTCAAAAAGCTCAAGTAGGGTTCCCTGCCTGCCATCTTAGAGAAACTTTGGGGAGGGGGAGAAGTTACCAATGTTTTGGGAAGAGCAGGAGAGGAGTCACAGGAAGAGTGCCTAGCTAATTTATGGAAACGAGAAGACTGAACTAAAATATGCACAACTAAGCCAGTCTTACAGCCCAGTTGTACAACCTACAATACTACAGCCTAGAGAAGGCTTCAAATCCCAGCATGCAATGCCCATTCTAAGATAAGCAGAAGTAATCATTTCTACTATAAGAACAGGAGAGTTGCAAGACTGACCTCCTTTGTAAAGGACTTTGAGACCTACTGATGAGAAAGGTGCTTTTTGTAAACAGCTTGATATTTTAAAAGATGGGGCCCTTTTTACATTGTTTTCTAACACTCTCAGCCTTCAAGACTGAGAACTGGGCACAAGAGGCCAGATTCTTAGTTGAAGTTAGTCAAAACAACTGTGTGACTAAACCAGATTATATAAATTGAGACCTCTTGATTCATCTTTTCAAGTTGAGCACACAAAGTTAAGGTCATAAAACTTGTTCTTAGCCCCTAGAGTTGTTGTTATTATTTGTTTCCATCTCTGGGTCCCAATTTTCTCATTTCCTACAATGGTAAATCAGATGAGACTCCACTAAGTTTCTGGAGTTTTACTGTTGTAAAAAAATGAATGCATGAGTTGTCATGCTGAGAAGTATGACCTGGCCTATTCACTCAGTAAGAAATTAACTATGGCTTCATTAGTTATTACACAGACTACATTTACATCCTCTTACTCTGGGACTGGAGTTAGAACTTGAGTCTGGTACTACTGAACAGAGGTAAAAAAAAAAAAAAGTATTTTTTAGATAAACTGGAAAACAAAGCTGAGCTGCTATTTCCAGAAAAGTTTATAGGAATATAATCTGATACTGTAGCAGTACTCTCAAAATGTATTTTGCAATAACCTCTACAATTAATGTATAATCTTTGGAAGAAGGACTTACTAAAAACATGTCAGTTTTCATCCTCTTTCCTCTCCCTTACCTCTTCTACCCACTCACCCACCTTCCTCCCACTCATTTATTGCTTTCTTGTTATTTCACCAAGTATGAAATACCACGTGCAAGTCAGCCACGTCATATTTCACACATGTCCATCTCATGCTGTTGGCCATCCCCCTCTGAAAAGATGGTGTGCGCTGCAGGCTGGTTCCTTGCTACTCCCCACCCTAATCTCCACACACAACTAAAATTTCCCCTTTTAGACCATGGCTTGAGAAAGCAGTTAGAAAACAGCAGCAGGAATACCAGATGCTAGGGAGGAGGCACCTTATAGAAGACAGACAAGCAAGAATTTGCCCCTACTACAGGCCTTAATCTAACCTGGTGTTTCATTCGATTTTGCAGAGATTGTTACAAAACAGAAACCACAACTGTCCAATTATCGGGTGACATCACCCAAGGTTGATATTGGTTTATTGCAAGCCAGTGAAGTACTTCTTATTAATCTGTCACATTCTGCAATGCTGCCCTCCATAAAGTGATCTCAGAACACATTCTGGAATGTGAATGATAGATACACATTTAAAGTAGGTCAAATAGGGGGACGCAAGTTAAAAAAAATCCAATTTAAATCCTCGGAATACTTTTCTATTCTCTTCCTTCAAATAAAATGTGAAAAAGGGCTGACAGAGACACCAATCTTTGTTAAGCAGAAGTGTTTATTTTCCAATAGGTCTAAACCTCCAGCTTGACAGACTCCACATGCACTTGAAATGGCTACCATTAAAATATTTTATTACTAAAAGTTAATTTAACCTACAATCACTATAAAAAGTAAAGACTTAAGACAGGAAATAAGTACCTGATGGAGCTGTTGTTGGGATTTTTTAGATCTTGATGAAGTTTTATCACCCATTCCTGATACTCCTGCTTTTGGATGGCTGTTGATTGTTTGAGTTCACTGGTCCATTTATTTTCTAAGTCCTAAAAGCAGACATCATCCCAATCAATTAAATTTATTTTGTTTTTTTTAGATCAAAAACTGTTTGTATGTTCCCCCCCGCCCCCACAAGTCACTGTATTTAAAATTTACCTGCTGACATTCAAAATGCTGAGCTGCTAGTTCATTCACATCTTGATCTGTTAGTGTTTTTCCTAGTTCCTGCATCACTTTATCCATTTCAGCACCTTGTCTAAAACAAAAACCAGAGCACAACTACTGTTAGTCAGTGTTGACTGCTTAAAGCGTCGTCAAAATTTTCATGATCCAGACAAGTTTCAATGCAAGCTTAATTCTAATATAATAAAGGGGTTGTCTGTCTGTCTGCAATGCTTTTGGCCAACTGCGCATGCACCACTGAGAGGGCAGGCAGCAATTGGCTGTGCAGGCCCAGGCTGTGCGGGTCCAAGTTTGAGCCGCTGCCAGGGAAGTTGTGGTGGCGGTGAACATGTCCCGGCTGCCCAAGCAGCGGTGCTGCCCCACGCCTCCCTGCCTGAGGGTGAAGGAGGGGTTCACAGAGGCAGCGCCCCCCCACCGCCCATCCCCACCGCCCCCCAGAACAGCCGGCAAGGAAGGGGAGGCGACAGGCAGGGGGGGGGGGAGGGGAGCAAGAAGGGCACCAGGGAGGCAGGAAAGAAGTGGGGAGGGTCATTGTGGTAGCGTCCGTCGTCTGTCCCCCATCTCCCCCCGGCACTGCCCAGGCCCAACAACAGCCAGCAGGGAGGGGAAGGTGGCAGGGAGGGAAGTGGGGAAGGGATGGGAGGCGGGGGGGGAAGCCCTGCTGTGAGGCGGAGGTGGACAGGGGGAGGGAGCCCCTGCAGCGGAGGGAGTCTTTACATGACCAGCCCTGAAGGGTGAGTGGGGGGTGAAGGGGGGACCATGTAAAATACTCTCTGAAATCCGTCATTCTTGACAGGCAATTAGCTAGTATAATTTTATAACGGGAACAACAGAAGTTGAGGTATCCCAATCCTAACTTGAAGGAACATCTGGCAAGCTAAGGTAGTTCTGTTTCTTTATCCGTTTGGTTCCTTCCGTCTTTTGGGGGAGCTGCCAGTTCCCTTTTGATATGGGCACATGGTTACCACAAACTAAAACTGATGTCACCAATTCCCTTTCCAATTAGAGTAATTTCCAACTCAAGTAACATTCAAACATTTATACATACATGCTGCAGGTCATTAGGGAAACAGCTTGCAATCAGAACTTTATGTTCATACATGGCTCAAGCAATTCTGTGTCTCCACAGCTATCATGAATAAAGTGGTTTTAGTTTGGAAGGACTCTGAGAAAGACCTACAGAAGTTTGCATGCTTTGTATATTCTGTAGTTATTTTATATTACTTTTAAAACATACAAAAGTTGATCTTGAGAAGATTTCTTGTGCTTAAGAGAACACATGTAACTGGGACACTTTGGTATTTATATAATTAAGCTACACACTTATATAAATGTTTTAAATATTTAGAATATGTTCTCAGTGTCTCTCCTCAAACATTTTATTCCCACTGCGAAATGAAAGCCTCCCCTAGTGGCTAAAGGCTACATTTGCAGCTTTTTGAACTTCTATAGCTTCCTAAAAATCTTAAGGTTCCAAAACATGCCTTTGAGTTAAAAATCACTGGCTGGAATTCAGGTTCTCTCCCCCTCTCCTGGTCTGAAAGAACTGTTGATTTCCCTTTTTGAGAAATGTTAGAAGGTGCAGGAAATTTTGTACAAGCACATTAAGTGCAATATAGTATTATTAACATCTATTTGGATTCTTATAAATTTATGTGCATGAACATATTGATGTTACTCAAGTGACCTTAGCATTTGTAATTCAACAGTCTTTAGTTTTTACACTTAAGACTCTAAATAAAATACAAAAATTACATCATGTAACATCTCTGTATTCTTTTTTCCAACATGGAAAGCCAAGAAAGAGCTTGCAATACAAGGCCTAAGAAAGCATAACAGGATTTGTATAAAAACCCATGCATAATAAGACATTTAAAAAATACCTCTCTCGTAACTTCTTCAGTTCCACATCTCTTTCACTTATTAATTCTGAGATACTAACGAAGTAATTGTGTTCCAGGTTTAACAGAGTTTCAGAAGCAGGAGAATGTATCAAATCATGGTAAACATCTGCAAAATCTTCATCCCAACTGGGCTCTTCAGGATTTGCATGTTCCAAAGTTGTCTAAACGGAGGAGTATTTTAAAATATGGCAAGACATTTTTAAGGAAGTTCAAAGAACCAAGCATGTGCTCTCTCCCCTGACACTTCCCTTTTCCCTA